CTGGGTAGAGTGCCATGGCATCACAGCTCACAGCAACCTCCAACTCCTGGGCTCAAGTGAGTCTCCTGCCTCTGCCTCCCAAGTAGCTGGGACCATAGGCACCCACCACAATGCCTGGCTATTTTTTGGTTGCAGCCATCATTGTTGTTTGGTGGGCCAAGCTGGATTTGAACCCACCACCTTACGTGTATGTTGCTGGTGCCTTTGCCGCTCGAGCCACAGGTGCTGAGCCATACATGGACTTTTTTTCTTTTTTCCTAATAAAGTTCTGTTAATGTTTATGTATTTACCAAGTGGCCCAAGGCAACTCTTCTTCCAATGTATGGCAAAGAGAAAAAGTTGAACACCCCTGAAACTCTCTAAAACTACAGAGTCCCAGCTGGAGTGGTGGCTCATGTCTATAATCCTAGCTCTTTGGAAGGCTGAGGTAGGTGGATCATCTAAGCTCAGGAGTTTGAGACCAGCCTGAGCCAGAGTGAGACCTAGTGTCTAAAATTAGCCTGGCATTGCGGTGGGAGCCTATAGTCCCAGCTACTTGGGAGGCTGAGGCAAGAGGATCGCTTTAGTCCAAGAATTGTGAGCTATGATTCCATGGGATTCTACTGAGGATGAAAAAGTTGAGACCCCTTCTCAAAAAGAAAAAAGCAAAAAAACTACAGAGTCCCACGTCCTGAGGTACCCTCTGGTATCTCTGCCTTCCCCTTTCTCTCCCGCAAACTCCTTTCTCTCCTAAACCATATCTTCAGGGATTAGTCCAAGAGCCTGACATTTACATGTTGCCAGTAAACACTGCTGAAAAAGTGGATTTAGGTTTGAAGCACCCTCTTTGGTACCCATACCCCAGAGTTTTAATCTGGAAGACCAAACTTACTTGATCTGCTGGCAGACAACTGGAAGGCCATCTCTATTTCTTAGTAGATAATGGCTTACATAACCTCTCCCCAAGTTTCCTCTATATAAACCCTTTAAAAGGAAAGTCAGGACTTGGTCATGAAATACCAGACAAGATGACTAGCTCAGCAAAGAGAAATTCTGGAGTTGGAGAGGTGTGGTAGGTAGGAGCATAAGCAAGGGTTTCTAGGTCCATCCCTTCCAATCACATTAGCAATCACTAAAGCCTGTTTACTATAGGCCTGAGAAAGAACAATGAGGCCCAGGTCTCTTTAACTTGATTGTGGGATGGCCTCCTATTTTCGAGAGGCTATATATGAGTGGTTCTCAGCCTTCCTAATGCCTCCTAATGCCGCGACCCTTTAATACAGTTCCTCACGTTGTGGTGACCCCCAACCATAAAATTACTTTTGTTGCCACTTCATAACTGTGATTTTGCTACCGTTATGAATGGTAATGTAAATATCTGATATGCAGGATGTATTTTCATTGTTACAAAGGGGCCTCGACCCACAGGTTGAGAACCGCTGCTATATATAGTTTATCCTACTATATAGCCCAACAACCTGGCATTATCAAAACCTAGATCATTAAAACATTTGTTTCTGTGGAATTAAGAGGTAAAGAATTTCCAACTCACAATTCCTGAACAAATGCAATAGTACTGAAAACTACTGTATTTGATTACATCGGGCTTTTGTTCAATAAACCTCTCATTGACGATAGTGAGCGTTTAGGAGTATTTACTCTGAGCTGTGTGTACTATATTCCTTGCTTTATATGCATTTTCTTACTTTTTCAAACATTTTCTTAACCTTACTATGTGTTAACGCTACTCTAGGCACTAGGAATAAAAACCAAAGTCCTTGTCCTCAAGGAGTTTATATTTTAGTGAAATGTAAGCTTCATAACATTTAATCTTTATTACAACTCTGTAAGGTAGAGATTGAAACTATTTCTACTTTATAGATAAAGAAACTGAGGCAGACAGAAGATTAATAAATTGCACATTTCTTTTCCAAGTCTACCAGCAGGTGGCCAAGGCATCTCACACATTCTAACTGGTTACCACCCAAAGCACAATGCCACTTTAGCAAAGCAGCCAGTTCCTGATTTTGGGGTTGGTACATTATAATTAATAGCTGTTTGTGAATTTCATATCTTGTTTTCTAATTAATTGATCCCTTTAGAATGGAAATGCTCTCTCTAGAAGAAAACGTTTGCATTTTATTTCTGACACAGTTGATAAAGGAGCCCTGGCTGTCATGATCACAGCCGTATAGCACTGATACTCACTGTAGAATAAATTGATGATGTGCTGGAAACCAAGGAGAGTGAGGATCCGTGAACTATTAGGAGATAAAAAGAAAGAAAGAAAGGTGAATCATATGATTGGCTGTTATGGGACCACAAAAGGGGTGATGGAAAGAACAAATTAGCATTACAGGGACACTAGCAGGCTTAGAATGACTTACTATCACCTGACCTACCCAACCGTTCCTGTTTGGTGATAGGTCAGCAACAAATAAGGAATAATATATTAAGGAAGTTACTTTTCTATTAATACATTTTTTTCTCCTACAACTTTCTACACTTTTTCTTAACTATATTCCTGCCCAGAAATTTTCAACTACAGAGAAGTGTTAAGAAGCACATCCACTGTCATAACCTGCAGCGACTCATGATTCCATTACCTGGAGGCAGCCCGTTACCGTTTCAGCATACTTCACTCTACCTTTTTCTATTGTGTTCCTTTAGAGCTCAGATTGTCTTGCGTACACATTTCACCCCGATAGCACCGTGTCACTTGTACATGCGAAAAGCTGAACTGATCATATGCAAAAAAATGAACTGATTATTTTGAACTTAAGAGGCTGTTGGCCACAGTTCATTCTAGATGACTCTGTAAGTAAAATGTTTGTTTAGAAAATATCTACTGAAGTATAGAGTCTTTAACTTCTATCATGTCTAGAAAGTGACAAGTAGTGTCACGTCAGACCAGTGCGTTTCAGACCAGTACGTTTTGAATAGAACCATACTTGTATCCTGTTAGCAGCCTTTCCTGCCTTCAGCCATTGGAATATACTTTTTATTTGTTCTAACTTTAAATCATAGTCTTTCCTAGGACTGCATATTCTAGCTGCCTGCTCTTTTAGGGAATTAGGTTCTTTATTTTCTTGGTAATCTCTGGACTACCTGTTTGAAAGACAGAAATATTCTGTGTTGAAACCTTGTAGGCCTTCTAACAGGGCACAATTTTCTTCACGGTGGGTGGAATGCCTCTACTCCCACACTGTGCTATGACCTGCTGTCTGAAAGTGGGAGACTCGAGAGTAACTTTCCACATATACTAAATGGTATTCACCTGCCACCCAAGAAGTGAACTCATCTTGGATTCGCAGTTGGGTTGGCAGAAGCTACCTGCCAATAAGACACCCGACGGGCAACTCAGCCTAACACTCAGGCCCCTCTCCACTGTCTTTCTAGTGAACTTTCCTTTCCCTCCCATTCTTCCTTTACGTGTTGCCATCACACTATGAATCCTGGGCTTCCCTCCCAAGCATGGCCTATAATAACCTCCCACCTCAGAATCTTCGTCCATGCAGTTTTCTTTGTTTAGGATGCGTCTAAACGCTGCCTACCCAAATCAGATCTGCTCAAACAACATCTTCAGGTCGCCTTTCCTCACTTCCCTGACTGCCCTGGATGGGCTTCCTCGTTCCTCGGTAGACGCTTAACTTGACTTGCCATTCCAGCCTCTTCTCTCTTGGCAGGTCCCTGCTGCTCACTTACATCCACCCCCCCCTTACCAATTCCCTGAGTTCTAGATCTTTTCCTCCATCCATGACTAATGTGACTCATGCCCCATAAAAGTCAGTTTACGGTGTTAATGGCCAATAATGGCTTTCGTGTTAGTATGTCCACACATTAACAGAGCCCTCTAATGCCCCAACCTAGTGGCCTCATGTTCCAAAGAACTAAGTTACTTTAACTCCACAACACAGAGCTATACTGTGTGCAAAAACGTAGGTAAGATGCAACTGCCCTTCAGCCACACTTGCGTGACTGCGCTGTCAGAGGCTGGCTCCTGCAGCCTGCAAGGGGCTGCTGTACGGCCTTTATTTGATGGAAAATGGAGGGTTTTTCTCTTGTATTTCTACATTTCATAAACAACTCAGTGTGAATTTGGGGCCTAGGCAGAGAGGAAAACATGGTGGAGGTAATTGTTTTTCGGCCCCCTGGTAAACAGCAATAGCAAGTCTGTGTTCCAAAGAAACAGATTCCTTGATTTCTACAGTCAGCCCCAAACCGAGTGTGGCTTGCTCAAACCATTGCAATTGGTCCTCCTTCAAGTAAATTAAACCAAGCCAGAGCCTGGGTTATACAGCGTGAATACTCTTGGGCAACAAAATACTTATGAGAATTACAGAGTCGAAACAGCTAAAGCACACAAAAGGATTTTCCTCACTATTAGCTACGAGGAGCCACAGAGAATCTCTAGGCCATCTCTGCCACTGGGGAATGTGAAACTCCGAAAGATTAAATAACTTGCTTAAGGTCATACAGCAATAAAAGAACAGGATCTGCTGACCAGCAGCCTGGAGACTGCTCTGCCTTTGAGAGATCTGGTTTACTGGTTGCTGTTTTGCTTTTTATTTTAAAGCCTTTTGGTGTCCTTCAGAGTGATTTCCTATACCTTTCAAGCAATCTACATATAGGCACAAGCCAGGACTGAGGTATGAGAACAAAGATGCTTTAGGTAGGAGTGAAACCACTAGATGGAATGAGATAACTGGGTACATTCCAGTCAATAAAGGATCAAGTAACCCTCATAATCACAAAGAATTTGTAGGTAACCATCCCAGACTAGGCAGGAGCTCTACCCTTAATTAATAAAAGAGTAAAATTAAGGCCTAGAGCGGTTAAGTGACATGTCCAAGCACACACAGCGAAGTCAGGAGCAGAGAGAGAATATGAATCTAGGCTTTACACTCTGGCTCTCCTTCCATAGTTGGGTGTTGTGGAAGGAGCCAGGGAGAAAGAGATTCGGTTCCAATGGCTAACAGACTGCCCTGCCTCTCAACTAGCAGTGTAGGAAGTATAATAAAACAGGGGTCATATTGAAGAAAGATCAGGGCTTGCCTCAAGCAGGTTTGAAAAAAGAAAATAGAAAAGAAAAAAGTAACCAACCAAATATTAAGGTAGGGTTGAGAAAGACCGAGAACTGGGAATCAAAAGGCTTAGGTCCTGGGACACTGTTCTGGCTGCATGAAGTCTTCAAGTCACTTCTGCCTCAATTTCACTATTAAAAGAAATGGGGGGTGATAATGGCCCTTGGGGAGAAGGATAGAGTATAACATGACAATTACAACACTAGCTACCATTGATTACTTACAATCTGCTCCCTTTCAAAGTCATCTGCTAAATGCTTTCCAGGATTTATCTCGCCTATCTTCACTTCAGTCTTCCAAAGCAGGTATAGTTATTTTCCACGTTTGAGGAAATAGGCTGAGAAGGTTAAGTCCCTTCCCAAAGTCACATCCGTGTCAGGATTTGAATCACAACCATAGCTCAGGCCTTAGAAACGCAGGTGAGCTGCAATGCAATCTCCCCTATTAACAAGCTGCTCTGCTCCCGTGGATTTCACACAAATTGACGATGGGGGGGGGGGCAATCTGTGTTTTAGAATGCACAGCTCTTTGTGATGACTGGTGAAAGCAAGAGATTTTTTTTTTCTCTAGACAGCCATTTTAAAAACGTCTCAGGCATCCTCCTAAATGTATGCTATTAAAGTTGGCTTTAAGATTGCATAATGTATCTGATGGAGATTAATTTACCTGAAATAACTTTGAAAGGCTGCATCTGGGCCATGCCTGTACCTAATCTACATATTTATGATTTCTACCTCCTTCAAAATGGAGAGTGCTAATTAAATTGCACAAAAACATCACACAAATACTTGTGCTAATTCTTCCTAAATTTCTATTTTGCTAGATGGTATACAATACACCAAACACGAGACGTGAATTTTTCCCCAATTGCTTCTGCAGTGCTGGGAGTTTATAAATTCAAAAAGAAAAGAAGTCATTACTCAAAAGAAATTAAAAAGACCTAATTATGCAAGCCCTGCTTTGTGTTTGTAATGGAATAGGCTTGGAAGACATAAAATCCATCTAATGCCAAATTTCCTAAAAGATGAACATGTTAGGTGCTAACAGTGTATCGACAGCGGTCCCTACCTCTTCCCTCAAAGTTCGATTTTTACCTCTGTGCTTCAGTTGCACATCACCATGAATCACTAGGTTCACAAAAGTCTAGACACTGCTTATGGGCAAGCACTTTTTATCAATGTCATTTTGACATCCCATATATTCTGCAGTTGTGCTGCCTGCCAGCTTGATTCCAGATGGAATAAATAAAAGTTATCTGACGCTGATACTGTAATGGTCCTGGACCTTTATGAGGCAAAGTGTGCTTGTTTCGACAAGCTTCTGCACTGAACGTGGCTCACTCAGGTATACACAAGACAGAGAAGATGAATCCAGGGTGGGCAAAGTCCATGTGCAAGTCCTCATCAGGGAGTCTGGGAACCGCTCTGTGGCCATGCTTGGCCAGCACACCAACTAGCAAAAAGTTCAAGACAAACGGCTTCCTCCTCCACCTTAGGCTCATAATATATCCTCCACTATTAACTGCTCTCAGTGGTTACAGCATTAATTTCTAGCTCTTAAATCTAGCAAAAGACTCTCAGTTGCACAGGCTCCTCCCCTCCCTAATCCTCCGTCCCAGCAGGTTCCCATATATGGATTTACAGACTTGCATCTGCTCACTGGATGTTGCTGGATGCAAATGATACATAAATCAGGCTGGAGAGTAGGAAGTCGCCAAGAAGATTAACCAGGGGGCCACTGCTCTGTAACCAAATTCTTTCAAACTTTTGTTAAAAAGAACACACGGCGAAAGCAAAAGCTACTATCTTGTATTTTTCTCCCTTTGAACAGGAATTTTCTGAACAATTAAAGTTTGTTCTTTTCTGGGAGGAGTCTGTGGCTCAGTGAGTAGGGCACTGGCCCCATATACCAAGGGTGGCAGGTTCAAACCTGGTCCCAGCAAACTGCAACAAAAAATAGCTGGGCATTGTGGTGGGCACCTGTAGTCCCAGCTACTTGGGAGGTTGAGGCAAGAGAATCACCTAAGCCCAAGAGCTGGAGGTTGCTGTGAGCTGTGATGCCACAGCGCTCTACTGAGGGCGACAAAGTGAGAGTCTGTCTCTAAAAATAATAATAATGAAAAGTTTGTTCTTTCCTCCTAGGAGGATGCTGGTCACATTTTTGCCACTTTCATGGGGACTAGGAAACATCTGTGACTTATCCCCTCCATTCTGTCTTGTCACTGCTGAAAAAAGCACGACTGGAGGTATGATCCTCAGCTAGGGCACCAGTTGACCCAAGAGTCTCCATCGACTGGCTGGGGACTTTGAGCTGTCAGGAAGCCAGTGCTGAGGGTATGTTTTTGCAGCTATGTTATTATAGCTTTATGGCTGTGTTATTATAGACTGTGACGGGTAATAACACCATTGTGTTGGCATGTATACGTATTATCTCATTTAATTCTCATAATTCCATTCACCTAAAACTACTATTATTCCCATTTCTCAATGAAAAACCAGAGGCACAGAGAGGTGAAGCAACTTGCCCAAGATCATGTACCCAGGTAGCAGCAGACCTAGAATTCACTTTGCTAATCTGACTCCATATTCTCAGTCACTGGGCGCTAAGCCTCCAAAGTCCTATCGGCCCCATCTTTGTGGGGTTGGAGTAAAGTCTGAATGGTGACTGCTCGCTCCCGTCCTCAATTGAAGGACCAAAGAGAAAGACAAAGGAAATGAGTGGTGAAGATGGCCGGCAAAGGGGCCCGCAGAACTGTTCACTCACAGGTTTGATGAAAACAAACAAAACTTAAAAATCCAAATCCCCCCAAATATTCACAGTTAGAAACCTAAGTAGGAAAAGGGTAAAACTGAACACAACAAAACACTGAGGCTTGAGAAGAGAGACGGACAATTCTGGTGCACAGCAGAGAGGCACGGCCGCCCAGCCCCCCAGCGCCGCGGGCTGTGCCAGCACCGGGAAGTGAACTCCGCAGCGGCTCCCTCCGCCGAGATGGTGAGCCAGTGTCTGAGCCTCAAGATGGAGGCGCGTGCCAAGAAGCCATGGCCCAAGTCCAGGAGAGAGAAGCCTACAGCGGAACTCAGTCAGCTCTACGGCTCTCCAGTGTTTTTTTAGCAGCCTCTTCCCTGAAGTCCTGGAAGGTTAATTAAGGGTCAGACCTTACTACAGAGGATTCCATGTCCCTGACCCCTGGGTAGAGCACATACAGGGGGACTCCCAGGTCCACGAAGTTACCTTAGCACAGAGGCCCATTCACCACACTGAGTCACCCAGAGCCTGGGGAGTCTCCTTCCTTACCTTCTTCAAAACCGTCCCGGAATGAACCCGAACGGCTCATGGTTCTGCTCTTCTCATCCAGGGACATGGAGCTGTTCCGGAAGCGGCTGTCAGTGTAGGGATCGTATTGCCCGTCAGCATTGGACAGGCTGTGGGTCCTCAGCATGGCCGGGTTGGACAAGCTCATCTGGGTGACAGTGGTGGGACTCGCTGGAATGAAAGGAACAGAATCAAATGTTGCAGATTCATGTCTCTGTTCAGATCCTGGATGGGGACAAAGAGGAGGCTGCTTATTGTCAGCCACATGTGCTCTTGCCAACTTCTCTCCCTGTCTATTTTCTAAAAGGTAGTCACATCAGCATTTGAGTTACACTCTGAGAGCTAAAAATAAGGCTGGAAAGGCGGGTCAGCTCAAAAGCAAGGCTCTGGGCTTCGGCTTTCCAACTTGGCACGTTCAGACAGGCCAGTGTCACCTTCCAGGCATGAGCTAATTACTCCCCAGGCTCATCTGGAACGATTCTCTCTAAAGCCAAAAGCCCAAAATAGTCCAAGTAGGCTTTTGATCAGATGGGAAGCATTTCTGCATGACAAGAATCTCTTGCCTCAAAGAGTTACGGCTGGGAAAGAACAATATGAGCACAGGTCTCATTGGCTCAGATGGGAAACACCGTTTAAGAGCTTCACTGAAAAGGAGACTAGCTTTCTTAAGAAAATTCTGTCCATTTTAGTAATAACATACAATTGTTTTCAGAGTACTCATTTTGTCAATCAAAAATGAAGATTTAAATCTCACCTGATTACAAACTACACCTATCCTTAAAGATTCTGAATTTAATATTCACACTATTCAAAAAGGTTCCCTTCCATAGAGTGAGATGAGACTAGAAAAGATTTTCCCTACTGTCAAGCCTCCAAGGCTCGGCTCCCATCCTGCCACCTCTGCATAACCTCTGCCAGCAATTCCAGCCAGCACGGATCTTTCCTCTCTCTCCTTGTGTATGATACTTCCTATCTGATTATATTCAGTTTTTACATGGTTTCATAGAAAGCTTTGGATCGTTCTCTTTTCCTCTGTTTTACGGATCTGCACGTGGGTATGTTTGTCTCTCTAAAAAAGAATCCACTGACATGTCAGCAGGGACTGTGTGAAAAACTCTTGTCCTCTCCCCACTGTGCCAGTCAAAGCATTATGTCAGCAGGAGGCATTTCTAAGAATACTTGTTCTGCCAAAACGTAACTTTTATTTCCAGCTTAATAAAGCAATAAGGATCACCAACCATGGGATATGCTGTAAAATCTACTTCTTCAGGTCTTAAAAATAGGATGCATTCTTCTCAAAACTGGGACGATTTGCTCTTTGCAGTAACCCTACCTATAGGAGCCACATACAGAAAATTGACTGAGAGTACCAAAATCCTCACTATTTTCTCTATTTCTTTTGCTATCGATTTCCTGTAATGAAACTACATTGCTGAGAGCTGATCATTGACAGAGATAGGACCGCAGGTCTATTTCGAAACACCAGATAACTTCTGCCCTATGGAGCTGATCAACACAGCTAACGACAAGTGGCTACTCACCAAGCTGGGAAAAGTTGAACCTTGTTCCAGAGGGAGAAGTTACACTGGAGCCAGAAGAAAAAGGGGAATTTGCAGCAGTGTCCTGCAGGCCCCCGGCAGAGTGGGACCGTAACCATTCTTTTGCGTCTTCTTGTGTGCGAAGCTGGGAGGTGGGAGTATACCTGGACAGACAGAAGGCAAGCTGGAATTAACTACGAACGACACTTGTCAAAATGAACTCGTGGAGCTGACGACAAATGATCAAAAGAAAATATATACCCAAAGATGAAATTTTTTTAAAAAATCCGATCATTACACACCCTGAAACTTCTAAAGTTTCTCAAAACCTTTTTTGCTACTTGGCAGAGTTTGGGGAAAATTACAATTCCTTTCGTGTGGAGGGAACGCGTAAAGGGAAGATTGGTAAATGCTCAAAAGAGCCGGCTCTGGGCGTTTCTGTAACAAGTTGATTCATGACAGTGTCACGTCAAAGCCCCCACCTTGACAGGATTGAACCAACAAAACGAGCTGCTGTTAGAGCTTTGAGGAAGTTTTAATTAGATACTTCGTGGCATCTGGATTCTACAGTACAAGTCGGTGGCCATGTATCACAGCATACGGGCAAGCAGGCGTGTAAGGGAGGGTCTGAGGACACTGATGCTCACAGTAGTCGCGGCAATGGAGCATAAACAAGTCTTCATAAGAGGAAACCCAGATCACTGGGCTTTATAGGAAAGGGCCTTAGGAAGTAATGTGGCCCACCTCCTCACTGATCTAAACTGTATCTGGTAATGATTTATTGAACATCCATAACATGGATGTCTTCATGGACATTATCTCGTTGAAGCCACAGTGCAGATGCCATATCCCTATTTATATTCAGGAAAGGTGAGGACCCTGCCCTGAGTTGCAGAGCTGAAATTGCAACCCATGTTTGTCTGCTTCCAAAATCTGTGCTCTTTCCCTTATGGTCACAGGCAGCATCTGGACTTTCTGAGCACACAAGTGGTCCGAGGACCATTGGATTTTCTGCACTAGATGTAAACAGAAGGACTCTTTGGGATTAAATAAAAAGGTGTTCTTGGTGTGTTAGCATCAGATGTGCATGTAAGGTAGAGGAAGGGAGGGGGGAGGGAGCTAGACAGGGAGAGTTGGAGTGAGGGGACATAACATTGTTTCTTCTTGAATATTTTTACTATTAGCTGGTGGAGATGCAACTTTCAAAGACACAACAATGATCTAAAAAATAGTCAATTTTAAGAAAACAGAGCTACATAGTTTCGATAGGATAGATCTGCTACAGAAATAAATACACCATTTCAAAATGTTAGTATTTAGAGGGTGGTTTCCTCTTGGGGTGCCAGTGGGGCATCAACGTTAAAGAGTGGCCATCATTAAGCGTCTAGCATGGTTGCTGACAAGCAGCCCACGTGGGCACAATGGAAAGTGGTCAGTACAAAAGGCCTTGCCAACTCCGCTTTAGGGCCACAGTGCTGAAGTCCCTTCCACAGGATGTCTTTTGAAAACTCTGAATACTTTGCTTCTTAGTATTAGCTTTACTTAGAGCTCCTATTGAAAGGAAGCAGTGATACCTACCTCATGTTACTGTTCAAAATGCTCTTAGTCTTAAGAGCTACGGGTTATTAACTACAGACATACATAACAGCAACAAAACATATCATTCCAAGTTCCATTTTATGCAAAAGCACTTAATGCTCAGTGCAGGGTGAAGCCAGTGCTACAAGAACAAGGTGTTTAGAAAGCAGGAGACATGACAGCTGTAACCATGAGACAGGAAGATCATGGGGGTGGCGTTAGCAGACTCAAGTTCCTCTGGTTGGCAAAGTGATGTCGATGGTGTGAGCAATGGTGACTTATAGCATCTTGTTTTACCAGGACGACCGCCAAAAAGGAGCCCTCGCTACCACTTACTAGGAATAGAAGGACACTCCCGCCTGGGAGTCTTGTCTTTATTTTCACCAAAAAAATGATCATACACATGTCTTGCTGGGCATTGAAAGTAGACCCAGTTTTGTTTTGTTTTTTTAAACAGAGCCTCAAGCTGCCCCCCTGGGTAAAGTGCCATGGCATCACTGCTCACAGCAACCTCCAACTCCTGGGCTCAAGTGAGTCTCCTGCCTCCGCCTCCCAAGTAGCTGGGACCACAGGCGCCCGCCACAACGCCCGGCTATTTTTTGGTTGCAGCCGTCATTGTTGTTTGGTGGGTCTGGGCTGGGGATTCGAACCTGCCACCTTAGGTGTACGTGGCTGGCGCCTTAGCCGGTTGAGCTATAGGCGCCGAGCCAGTAGACCCAGTTTTCGATCAGAATATTTAGATAAGCACAAAGTATCTGTCAGTAGCAATTTTTTATGGGCTGAAAAGTTAAGTGTTTTCAAATTTGGGGAAGAAATTTGCTCCTGCTTTGCGTCTGTCCTAGCTAATAAGTCAGCATGCTATAAGTCATGCCCTTTCTCTTGGAAGACAGCCATGTGAACAGAAAGGTCATGGTGAAGTGCTCAGAGAGTAAACCCACTGGCCCCCCGAAGCGGCAGTGACTGCTCTTTGGGCTCACCCAGGGATGTTTTTCATGAGATGGTTTGACCACATTAAGCCTGAAAAACGCACAGCCCCTGCTCAAGCAAACAAGCCAACGAATGGAGAGGTGAGGGTGTGAGGGGGCCGCCATTCGGAAGGCCCTGCTGCCGTGGTCAAAGCGGGGACCCCAGCCCAGCCCAAACCCCCACCAGCCATGAGGAAGTCACACAGCCAAGCTCCAAAGCCACAACAGATGGCATGGATGCAAGGAGGAAACACAGATACCTGAGTCCTTTCTTAGGCAAAGTGTTCCTATCAAGGTGCGGGTCACTGTAGGAAAGTTAAAACAAAAATAAGAACTTCAGAGAAGCACAGGGAAGGGTGGGAGTGGAAGGGGAGGCTGAAGGGTCCTGGAGGAAGACCGGCATCACCAGGGAGTGCTCCCCAATCCAGTCACACATGCAACGGGACAGCACAGCCACAGAAGACAAGCAAGCCAGTCCTCGGCCTGAGCTACACCAGCGCATACTTTACCCCAAGTCACCAGGAGGCCTGAGTCCCTCAACCCCAAGGGCTCCTCCTTTTCCACAGGTTCAAGGCAAAGCTCAGGGGCTGCCCCACCTCGAAGCAGAGCCCACGCCTTCTGCCTTGCAATGCTCCTTTCTGTACCTCACCATGGCTGCTTGGAGAGAGGGGTGCTGGGTTCTGTGCACCTCTGACATTGGCCCACCCCTGAAATACCACTGGCAATGACTTCAAGTGGGAAAAGGGACTTGTTGGAGGTTTTGAGAGGCCAGCAGCCTGCATATTTGGAATTCATCAGCAACAAAGTGAATTCCAGGTCCCTCTCAACTTCTGCAGTCCTTGTTGAGTGTAGCTAGGAGCTGAGCCCCGGGCGGAGTCGGGGCAAGTTACAGCTTGCTGGCTGATAAAGTCAAGGCATTTGGATTTCCAAAGAACCAGGTTTTAAAGGCTTGGTTTGTGAGTCTGACAAAAACAAAGTTTTTGCTGTTGATGGGGTAAAGAGGGTTTTTTTTCCCCCGTAGCATGAAACAACATCTGCTTGTTATGTTTGGCCAAGTCATTACTCCCCCACAAATTTAAGGTCAGTATCCATCTCTGAGGCCCACCCACAGCTGAGGGCGCAAACACAAGCATCTTCGTTTGTAAAGTCTTAGCACTCCACATACTCTTTTTCATTATCATTACAGGACACGGGCACACAGAACACAACGGTCTGCAAGACAGAAGGAGCCAAACTGCAGCAAAGGACTTTGAAAGGGACAAGAGCCAGCTGCGTGGGGAGGTGGGGGGGGACAGAGGTGAAGGCCAAGCTTCACACTGGGTGGTAGATCACTTGTGGGTGTGGGTGTGGGGGAAGGTGGGGAAGGAATGGGGGCAAAGCTGGGAAGCAAAGGCATGCCACAGGAGGCCACAGGAGATGCAAGTGAGAGTTTGTGCCACCCCACATCAAGTGGAAAGGTTTGAGATCCCTTTCCCAAAATGGGAACGAAGGGGCCAGCCCAACTTCACCTCTCCCTGGGCTTCAGCAGACAGTGGCACAGACCCTCACTGGCATGTCTGGTGTCACAGAGTACACTAGAGCCACAAACACAAGCAGAAGCCTCAGGCCAACAGCCCCGCACAAGACACCTGGCTTGACAACAGACAGGCAGAGGAACTTAAGAGGCTTGGTGGGTCCCCAGCCTACAATGTCATTACCTGTCCTGTTTCCTGGGCAGAGTACTTCTGCAGAACTTAGGGCTAGCAGCAGGGGAAGAGAGAGGGCTAGAAGTCCAGGCAGGTAGAAAACAAGAGAAGGAACATTAGCTTGGAAGAAAGGAGAAGTGTTATACACAATGATTAGGACATTTTCCCCATTCCCCCTGTGCTGATCCTGGCTGCTTTCTCTCTGCGCAGAAACTGGACACATATCACTACCGCGGTGAAATCTAGGGCTCTGAGAACACTTTCAGTTTCTTGATTTCCTAACAATATCGCCAGAAGCTCTTCAGGAGGAGGGTGTTTGCTGTTGCCGCGATGATCACCAGATCTACTCAGCTGCTTAAAGAGCCCCCTACCACGTGCTCCATGGCTGCGCCCGATCCCCTCCTCTGCTTGCACAATTACAAGGTTGGGGAGGGGGGGAGAAGCAGCAGATGAACAAACAGAATAAAAGGGAGGGATTTCAACGCTGAATGCCATTTCAAATGGTAGCACACATCTGCCCTCGAGAGACCTCAAGCAGCTCCAAGCATCAAGAATAACCGAGAAAAAGATAAGAGGGAGCAGAGCCAAGTTTAATTCCATCCCATCCCGGCTTCCCCATGAAAGATGGCAGTAACTAGAAAGAGAGAAATCTCACAGGCAAAGGCTAATTGACATTTGGGATTCCTGACCTAATCTTTTTAATTCTGGAAGGGTGTTTTTCTGAGCGGTAACGGCAGCCAGAGGCACGGCGGCACCAACCTTTCTGACAGTGTGGTCTTCACACTGTTGGTTCTGACAAAGGGAGTCAGGGAGTCATCCTTAGAAGAGGTGATCAGGCCAGTGGAGGAATTGTGGCTCAGTCCCCCTCCACTGCTGAGGGAGATGTCAATGGACTCACAGCTGGTGTGGAGGCTGCTAACAGACTGGAAGCCCAGACCTTCCTTGCTAACTGCCGAGGAGCTGCTGGCGTTGGTGCCCCAGGTGAGGCTGTTGGAGGGGCCCGAGTTAGCTGAGCTGGGGCTGGAGGCTAGAGGAGACTGGTTGAGGTCCACGTTCTTACTGTAGAGAGGACTGCTGCTCCCACTGCTCAGGATGCCACTGCCTGATGGGGAGTCTAGGTTACCTTGCTGGGTCATGGTGGCATGAGGATTGGAGATGACCACTGAGTTTTTCATGTTTTCAGCTGTGGCGATGGGCACTTGCTTGGTAGGCTTCCCACCAAAGAGTCTGTGAAGAGACAAAGGGTTGTGTGGGTTGAACACCCAGTGCCAAGGGGTGCTGAACTGTTCATGAAAGGTAGGGCACAGGTGTTAGTGAGAGCCCTTGGGGAGGGAGCCATTCCTACCACCACAGCTAAAGGCACTAGGCGGCAGGGAGAGGTCAGCCGTAAAGTATATCCCAGGCTTCCACCACCAAGTTCTAGGCTGCAGCTGAGACCATGGCTCTAGCTGAGCCAAAGGATGATGGGCGATAATTTTGTACTGGCCTATCTGCAGAGGTCCACAATCTTATTTTCCTCTGTTCCTATAAATAGACTAACTAGATAACTGCTGTGGCTCATGAAACATCTAGAGGGAAAAAGAGTTGTCTTGGTCATCTTTGAATCTGTGGCCTTAGCCATGAAGCAGGCCCACCGTTTATCACACTCGACTCTAAGGGATTTGGTTCGTTTGACCTGTAAGCACAACACACAGAAATCAAGAACATGAGTCTGTATCTGGCTGGGGTCTGGGAAAAGTATCTTTACAGATTTATCCTCAATGGAAAGCTCAACCTGAAAGATGGGTCTTTTGGGGCCAGAGAGCTTGATTCATCCGACGACATACACAGAAATCTTGCAGGGCTCATAAGACGTTAGACTGGACACAATGAATGTGAACTGCATCTCTGTGACAGAAACACAGAAATGCCACTCCATGTCATCTCCCCACTGCTCATGGCCAAAATGTACTGTCAGACCATAGGGAGTTACACAGACACCCGCCTCTGCCACCAGCAGAGAGTGTAAGGGTCGAATGGCAGAAGTGTCTTAAAGTCAGAGGGTGGGCCACAATCCAGTAATGGATTATCCCAACCATTAAAACCCATGTGGAGTAAGTAGAGTTGAAGAGTCACAAAACTACTAGTGTTTGGATATGCAGACTGCCTTTCATCGACGTACTCAAAAGTGTTGTGAATCTTATCTCTAGTCTCTCCAAACAGACCTACAAATCTCAATTACTGCAAAGACAAATAATCCTTCTTACTACAGCATCTGCTGACCGAGGAGAAACGCTTCTCGCATGGTGACAAGCAGGGATGAAAATATCCTCATGTAGAATCTTGGCTTTAGAATGCTTATATGCTCTAGTGACAGGATCCCCATTACTTCAAAAGGTCACTCACTCCATTGCCAAGCACTTCTAATCATCACAGAACCCAAATTGCATCCTTTTCTGACTTTTGCACACAGCTCCTCATCCTACTCTGTGTAACTACACAGAAGAAGTCCAATCTTTTGTCTGTTAGTCCTTCCAATTGTTTGAAGAGAGTTATCTATCATGCTTCACCGAAGATTTCTCTTCTCCATATTAATACACATGGAAAGAACTGAGAACACCTTAACGATGGAGGAAAAATGTAATTTACCAGGAATTGGCCGAAAGGTGCCCAATGGAGCCTAAGGAGATGCGTGCATTTTCAAATATTCTATTACACTGGCCTCAGGATACAGTAAAATGCCTTTGTAGTTACTAAAGGAAATCTATAACACCAAAGAGCAAATATTACTCATAACCCTTGAGGCGACAAGCAGCGAAAATTTTCGTTTACAAGACAACCTGTTAAAACAACAAAGAGCAGCCCAATAGGACCTTCCCCTTGAAAAAAATAATCATTACTGAAATTCTAATAATCAAGTCTAGACAAAGAACAGTGCCCTGCTTCATTATACCTTTCATGCGGAATGCCGCTTCTGAAGTCTTTTCAAACATTCCTGTTCATCCCCAAATATGTACAAGTGCATATCGTTTTTACTTTTCTACCACTTAATTTCCTATCCTTGGGATTTACTCTTTCTTATGACATATTTCCTGGAAAGGTAGGATGAGCTCTAAGCTATGCAGCTGCAGTTTGAGGATAGTTCAATGGATAGTAAGATGAGATAACATAAACCAAAAAAAAGCTGTATGCATTCAAAAGAAACTATTAAAGAGAAACAGTGAATATTTTCATATAAAGAACTTCTCAGTGGGAAAATGTGGGGAAATGATGTCTTTTTAAGGTAATAGGAAATCGATTTTTTTTCCAGAACTATTTCTGCTTTAAGAGGATTTTTCTTTTATACTAAGAAAGCTAAAATTTCAGACTATCTTGGAATTATGCATGTAGTATAAGGTGACCAGATTTTAACATTGGTAAAGCGGGACACCATGGGGGTGGGGGGCCTGACAACAATGTAAAGTTTGATAAGCAGTTCTCGATAATCAGTTCTCAACAATTATTTGTTATTATTAAAGTTTAACATTATAAAAGTAACAAAAATAATATAAAATGCATATCCCTGAGAAATAGCCACATGGCAGCCGAAAACCATATATTCCCTTCCTGTTCTCCCATGTTTCCTAGCTTGTTGTGCAGTCTTTCCAAAAATGGGGACTTTTTTAAAATGCTGCAGGATGTGGGACAAACTGGTAAAAATCAGGACTGTCCTGCCAAAAGCGGGATGGGATGTCTGCTCACCTTAATGTAGTATAAAAAAGTTATGTGGGGGCTGGGCATGGTATCTCACACCTGTAATCCTAGTACTCTGGGAGGCTGAGATGGGAGGATCACTTGAGGCCAGGAGTTCAAGAATAACCTGAGCAACAGTGAGACCCCGTCTCCATTAAAATTAGAAAAAATTAGCTGGGCATAGGGGGGCAGCTGTAGTCCCAGCTACTCAGGAGGCTGAGGTGAGAGGATCACTTGAGCCCAGAGTTTGAGGTTGTGGTGAGCTATGATGATGCCACTGCACTCTAGCTTGGGTAACAGAGAGAGACCTGTCTCAAAAATATAAAAAAATTAAAAAGTATGTGGGGACAATGGGGTAGGGCTATGAGAGAAAAAGATCTGATCAAAATCACTACCTGCTATAATGAGAAAGCTCAGCCACTGAATTACTATGACAAGAAAGAAAAAAACAAAAAAGGAAGAAGAAGAAAAGATCTGCCTCTCTTGAGCTTCTCAACCAGGCCGAGGGGTCCATCAAGGCTTCATCTTGAATGGTAGGAAGCTAACTTCAACTGAGTGCTTAGTATGGCCTGCAATGGTGCAAAGGTGAATCTTCACGAAGACTAGCAGAGCATCATCCTCCCATTCTTCAGATGAGGAAAGCAGGGCAGAATTGTTAAGAAATGTCATGTGGCAGCTAATTAAAATAGACCCCTGATGACTGATCCCAATAAGAAAAGATAATCAGTTGACTGCCAAATTGCTGACAGGATCTGACCAAACAGCTTTCCCAAGGACTAAAGTGGAGAAAGACAGAGGCTGCTTTAACTAAGGAATGGAAATTATTAACCCAGGATGCCGCTCCCTGTGTTCCAGTTCTGCTCGGTACCATTTATGTGCTCACTTACCTGCGGAGTGTGGGAGAGGCCACATCTGGGTACTTGGCCCCAGGCTGGAGAGTGGCCTGAGCCGGGGTGGACACAGGCTGGGCTGCAGGGTTCACTTTAACTGAGTTACAGGAAGTCACACTCTCATTGTCCGATGAGATGCCTTTCTCCTTATCTGTCTGGTTGACCAGACCTGGCAGAGAGCTGCCTAGGGCTGTCTTGGAAGGCTCCCTCAGCTTAGGCACCGGCAGGCCTGCTGACTTGCTGCTGATGTTGGAATCTATGCTGCTGGTACTAGACCTGTTCCCAGCCCCATTCCGGCTGTTGGACTTACTGGGCCTCGGCAAACTCCGATACTGTAGGTTTGTCCGAGAGCTGAGAGACAGATACCCGTCGTCCTGATTCTGAGCCCCATCCATGCTTGACTTTCGGCCAGCAGACCTACCAACAAGCGCAGACGACTTTGGGATTTTGCCCAGTGTGGCTGACCTGCTGGTGACAGTGGCCCCGCTGGCTGTGATCATAGCCAGACCAGCAGTTGAGCCACTCTGCTTCTTGAACCCAAAGCTGTTGGCATTGGCAGTGGGCGTCCTGGTACTGCTGGGGAGGGGCTTTTTTGATTCATCACCACTGCTGCGGCCTGCGTCTGATGGGGAGCGCTTCACCTGGGAGGCTTTGGGAGAAAGCCTTCCTTTCTCAGACACCTTTGCATCGTCTGTTTTTCCTAAGAGAGAGATCAGAAAGATGAGCTTGCAAACCAAGCGCCTAGCTCATCCACTGTGTCTAAGATGCTTCCCTCTTCTGAAGAGCTGGTTCACTTTTTCCTTGAGGAGGCAGAGGAAAGATCTTTATATAAAGATAAGACAGCCTACCACTGTCACTGTGAGCCTTTTAGGAAATGTCAATGATTTTACTCATTTATAAAGCAGTCTAAATTTACCCAGGATAAAGCAAAGCCAGTCAATCATTGACAAGTCTGGGGAAAAAAAGATCCTGCCTTTTACTAACCTTTCATCCTCTGTCTGTTAAAAAGCTGTCTCTAATGTGACCAGGGAGCACTGCTATCCTTTTTATATACATTTCTTAAATCATGAACAACATTGACTCCACACACTGACAGCTTGTAAACCCATGCCCTTGAATAGCCTGCACTGGGTGTGTTTACTCTTGCCCAGTTATATATTAAAGATTCAGTATGCCCCAGCAGTTGAAGCATCTTTAGAGTGTAGGAGGTTTGTATGCTTACATATTTCCACTTAGAAAAAGGCAGGGATGTGAACCTTTATGAAAGCTGGTTGTTAGCAAAGTATACAAATCCTGAGAAGTAACATACAGCATCAAGTCCTTGCTAGAGGAACTGGTTTTGATTTGCAAGCTGATAGCTACAGAGGCAAGACAGTGCTGGTCTTTTACTCACCAGTTCCTGGGGTCTTCAGCGTGCCTGCGGGGGCGGATGGCTTTGTCCTAGGCATGGTGATGCCCACCTGAGCTGTCATGCCTCGCCGCCACGAGCCTGTCTGGGAGATGACGGGATTCTTCTTGCCGGACGTGCTCTTGTCAGACTCATCAGATATGTCAGAGGGATTCCGCCTCCACTTGGAACCCGGCTCCATCTTTACGCCGCTGTCTGACCCTCCGTCTGATTTCTTGACGTCATCGCCAGACCACAGGGGATTCCTCTCCACCTGCGAGTGTTTCTCAGCATCAGTCTGTGGACAGAGACTCCTGAATTAGTCCTTCCTGCGTCCGGTGTAAGAAGCCCCTCACTCTAAAGGCAAAAATGCAGATACATTGGACTCGCTGAGGGGAAAAATACAGTAAATAATTTAAAGGTATCCTTAGAAAAGAATGAGGGAGGAGAGTAAAGAGTTCCTAGGGAAAAAAGCGGGAAAGAACCCGAGGGAGGAGAACCGAAAGAGCAGATGGAGATGGGGGGGAAATTCAGCTGCCAACTCTCTGCCACTTGGAGACAAGCCTCCAACTCCTGACACTGGGTCTCTTACCAGCACCCAGCCTCCCAGCCTGTCCCCATGTGTTCTGCCTAATTCCCATCACTCCACTGCCAATGAGATCTTTGGATCTAACGCACCAAGGACTAAGAGAGTAAGTGAGGGTGGCTGCTGGTTCCTCCGACTCAGGGGGATCGAAGAAGCGAATCTTCCAGCAGCGCTTCCCACAAGTGCTCAGCGCCAGCGGTGCCTGCCCCCACCCCGGCAGCATTTATATGCCACTGCTCTGCTCCCCTTGTGGGATTCTGCTCAGACAAGGGATATAATTAGCCAGCTTTCTTTGGAAGAGCCCTGACCTACTGGCCACGGAACCCAGGCGGGGGAAAGAAGTGTGACGTTAATGATCTCCCGCAGTTAACAGGCACAAAGCAGGACAGAAGGCCTCCTGGGGTTGGAGGCCAGTCCAGGAGACCAGCAGGAGAGTGGGGCAGGAGTGAGGAAACACAGGGCAGCAGCACTTTCCGGGGGGCTGCACTCAGATAGAGTCCCACGTTTTCTGTATTTAACCACCGAGAGTGGGCAACGTCAGCGTGTGGGAAATTAAAATGAACACCTGGTGAGAATCTAGCCTGATGCCTGTCATCCAGGAGTGGTCCCAACGCCTTCCTCTGCGGAATACAATGGCTGGATGGGACAAAAGGTAAAAACAGACAGGCAGGCGAGTTTAATTGCCTCTGTGTCTTCCCCAGCCCCCTCTCCTCCTTACAAATTCCACTCATTCATTATAGCTGCCTTGCAGTTCTTTCATTTATTTTTCCCAGCGAGGCGGGTAGAGATAGGAGTACAAAAGCACGCTCCCTGACTGTGAGCAGCTCATCCTTCTGCTGTGGCACAGGGAGGCAGAGAGGGGAGTCCCCACGTGTGGCACAGAGCAGGAGCAAAGTCAAAGCTGGGTGAGTGAGTGGATGAATGACTAGCCTGGCTTTTCAGGTTACAACCTACTCATCTGGTCCCAGCGCTATCTGGTCAAGGAGGGTCAGCAGGTAAGCAGGACTGTCTTTATCTCATTTGTAAAGACAAGCAAAAACTCCAGTTACTCCCTGTCTCAACCGCTTCAGCCCAGAAGAACTTCCTTGATGCCTGCTGTCCCTCAGGTGTCACAGAGGGTCAGAGAGTCAGAGGATCTGCTGGTCAGACCAACCCCCATCCTGCATGGAGTTGATGGTCCAGGGAAGGAGGCAGAGTTAATAAAGACGTAGTTGGGAATTACGAAGACTACTCTAAGGAAAGAACAAGGACTCTGATAGAGAAACACAGGCTTTGATTTGCTTCAGACTGTGAAGACGGGGCGAGGACAGTGGTCAGGTAAGGCCTGAAGAAGTACCCTGAAGAAGGAGAAGCTACTTAGGGAAGATCACGTCAGGCAGAGGGAACTGCACGTGCAAAGGCCCTGAGGCTGGAAAGAACTTGGCTTTGGAAGGATTCACTCACCAAGTATTTATTGGGTGCCACTATGTGCCAGGCAAGTTTAACTGCACTGGAAATACCACAAGGAACAAATGCAAGTTGTTAACCTCATGGAGCTTACGTTCAAGTATATTCTATTAATAATACATTCTACCAAGTACTGAACATTTAGCACAGGCCACATCCTAAGTTACCACACTATTTATTCTTTTAACCTTCTTATGCCTACTTTCCCCTAATCGAATTGTAATGATCCTGATAACAGCAGCACAACAAGTTAAATCTATTGTGTCCTCCCCTTGCTACGTGGTTGACTAAGCTAAAGTATTTGACGTGTATCACTGAATTTGATTCTCATCAATAACCTATAAAGAAGTTATACTTAACTTTCTCAATTTTACATGAGAAAACTGAGGCACAGGGTGGGAAAGAAAATTTTCTAAGATTACACAGTGAGAAAGCAGAGATGCAGGGATTCCAGGGAGTCTAAAAGCAGAGACCACACTTTAACCACGGTGCCACGCTGCCTTCTTTGCAGACATGCCCAAGGATCTGAGACGTTTCTGTATAAGCAGTAGATTCTCTTTCCATACTGGCAGGCAAGCTGGCTGCTTCCCAACCCCAGCTTCCAGATGGGGCCCCTAGAACTCTAATTCTATCAATGGTAGAGAAAGTGTGCATGTTCTGGCCCAGGACCATGGCCTCATTCTATCCCTCTGGAAAGAACAATCATCCAACCATCACATTCCTCCTAACTTGGTCCAGGGTGGCAGTTTCCCAGCTCTACTCTGAACAGCTAGCTGGGCATTTGCCTCTTGGGCTTTGAGTTCACATCCCCATAGCAGATCCTTCCTGAGCTGGGTGCTGGATTATGTGGTGGCACCTCTCGGGGTTAATGAATAAGGCTGGGCTTACTCATCCTCTCTGTTCCCAGAGCTTACAATAGCGGGGGTCCGCCAGCAGGATGCCCAGGTGGAAACACATCCAGAGTTCCGTCCTCCCTGCCTGTGATGTCAGTCACTCCCATCTCTGTGGCACTGCCTTTCTGAAGGGTTTTCTTACAGCCCCTACTTGGAAGGTAGGGAAATAAGGGACCTCAGAGGGGAGGCCCATCCTCTGAGGGTGAGAGAGTGGAACTGAGGCGAGGCCTAGGGAGTGCAAACCTTGGCATGATGTGGGGGACAGCATGGGCTCTGGGTCTGACAAACTGGCTTCAAGTGCCGGGTGTTGCCGCTGGTCTGCTGTGTGTAACCATGGAGGATGCTGCTTCTCTTCTCTGAGAATATTACCTTATGTATAAAATGGAATGAAAAGAACAAGGCCTCTAAGAGGCTCGATCAATGAAACATAGAGGGCCTCTGTACGTGGTGGCCTTTTTCCTCACCGACTCTTCTGCTTGCAAAACTCGCAACACTTGGTTGAGTGCAGTGGCTCACACCTATAATACTAGCACTGTGGGAAGCTAAGGCAGGTGGATCACTTGAGCTCAGGAGTTCGAGACCAGCCTGAGCAAGAGCAAGACCCTGTCTCTAAAAATAGCCAGGTATTGTGTCGGGACCCTGTAGTCCTAGTTACTCAGGAGGATCCTCTCAAGAGGATCACTTGAGCCCAAGAGTTTAAAGTTGCTGTGAGCTGTGATGCCACAGCACTCTACTGTTGGGCTGCCACACCAATGGAAGGCAGGGATCTTCCCTCCTCACCCGTGTCCTCTGCAGACCTAGATGGTGGCTGAGGTGTGAGTCCCAGTAACTGCAGAAATAGTGAGGGGCATCACACCACCTGCCAGGCCTCCTTCCAGACACTGTGTCTCTCTGCATATATCCTCAGGTCATCTAATCCTCTGAAGCCAAATTATTTTCCATATTTTACACATGAGAAAAATACCGGTTGGAAGAGGAAAATCAACTCGCCCCAAACCAGAAGCAACAGCTCCCAATAGATGAGCAAAAGGGGCACCCTTTTTGCCCCCTGCCAAATCCCACCCCTACCCCTACACCAACATCCAGAGGACAACAAGAGAACTCCAGGGTCAGCTCAGGCCATCCAGGACAGGAATTCTTGCCACACCATTCAGAATTTTACTTCCCTGACCTAAGTCATAAAAATAAAACTTACATGCAATTACCCTTTTCCCCCTGCATATTAAAAATTTCCCAGGTATTGGAAATAAGAGGAAATCTGGATGTGTCCGTATTTCCACCTGCCCTCCGCTTAACAGAGAGAAAATACTAAAGTCAGGGACACAAGTGTGCAGATGAGCACGTGGGGAGCTGTGGGTGTTTCTTACCAACACATTGTCCCCAAATACAATACTGCAAGTAGAAGACCAATAGCTTTGAAACTACAAACAAAATATCAACATAGCAAGAGCAGTCAACTTTTAGTCACTGACATGAATGGAGGAGGGAGGCAAAGGGGACAGGTAAGCCAGAGGGCGGGAGGGAAGGAGGGAGGAAAGTAACTTCTGAACAGCTCTCCAACCTCAGGGACTGAGGCATGTTCAGACAAAGTATTTCCAAGTCATTTTCACACTCACCCTTCCAGACAGGTCTAACTGCTGTCATGTAATGGATGAGGAAGCAGAGGCTTGGCAAGATTGATTACCTTATCTGAACGAGGTCCCTGGGAAAGACCATGTGACTCAAGGCCACCTGACTTCAGAGTCATACCTACTCCCTGCCAGCCACCAGTCTGGTCTGGCTGCCTGAGTGGACTCACCGGCTCTCCTGGAGGAAGTTGGTGGAGAAGATTCTCTGCCCAGCACACCGAGAAGCAGCAAGCACAGAGGCGTAGGATGGCTGGGTGTGTGTACCCGGCGGAGGGCACCCTTCAGTGCTCCTCAGCATCCTCAGAGGAGCTGGGAGTCCCTCACAGACAAAGGGAACCTCCGTCCCCAAAGATCCGCCTCCTCCTCTTTCAATCAGCTACAGGAGGCTGCTCCTTAGGGTTTCCACACAATAACTTCCCTGTTCCCTAGATGCATTTCCTTTGAGCTGTTCCTCACGGGCTTTTCAAATGGGAAAACCTAGGCAGACAACCTGTCCTCAACTTGCTTTCTGGACAGACACACTGAACCACTTCCTCCTGCCTCCCTCCTTGTGCAGGGTAAACCAGCATGTGACAGGAGCCCCAGCACAGAAGGCGCAGCTCTTGGAAAGGGTGCAGCGCACATCTTCCCACTGCCTGATGCTGCTGGGAGAGGAGTAATGGCCCTTAGCATTCCTCTGAGTGAGATGGGGAAGATGGTGGCAGCTGTGAATTATGTGGATTCAAATATTTTGAGATGCTCCCTAGTTAGGAACAAAGGGAATGTCGCTAAAAATCCATTTTCAGAAACCAGTGCAACAGAAATCTTAGTTAACTACTGGCACAGCCTGCATTCATTTTACTCCAAGACCTACCTTTTCAGTTTTTATTTTAATATTTTAAACCCACTAAACCCTTTATATTTCTTGAAATAACTTCTGATTTTGATTAACAGATGTGTTTATATAGAATCCCTTTCCTGATGTGACATTGGCAAGATGAAGGCAAAGAGCTGGTTCAAAGAATTATTTGCAAATCCCAGATGCATACCCTGTAGCAACTGGGAGCAGAGAAATTCTTCTAACAGTGTGTTTTTCTAGCTCAACCTGCATCTTTGGAGCAAGCCTCTCTTTATCTTGCAAGTAAACAAGAGAAATCTCCCTGATTCACTGATACCTCTCTCTCACCGTCCCTATAGTACCTCTAATAACCTGAATACTTCCCTGAATACACAGACTCAGGTGGTCGATTCCTTGGTTTTCTACCCTAGGACCTAAGGCAAGTCAAGAAGCCTGGTGGTTAACCTGAATATAAAATGAATCTTTGTAAATAAGTTAGGGTCCCCAAGGAAAGGAAAACTGGTGGATCCTGTGACATTTAGCATATGGTAGATGGCAGGAACATAGGCTGGCTGGGTGTTTCTAATTTGTGTCTAATCCCCAATTCAACAGTGATCACTCTTGGGCAATGTGGCTTAGGTTTTGTTTTTTATGTAGGAAAGTGTGCAATCTTGAGTGCACAGCTTACATAAATTTTGTCAGATTAACATATGTTAAGTACCACTCAGATCAAGATAAGGAACATTACCGGCACCCCCCAAACGACCCCCTTCCAGTCATTTGGGTAGTAGTTTTTTGTTTTTTTAAACAAATCCACCCTCACTCCTGAACAATCGTTAGAACACAAGCAGTGACTGGCAATCCCAAGGCAACACCTAATGTATTTCATCAGGCAGTCAAGGTTTCCACTTCTGCGGGGCAGAATCACTCCCACAGTCTAACACATCTTTTCTTTAGACTGATCTTCAGAGAAGAGAAGCCTTTGACAGCAAAGAAATTTCCAAAGTAGGTCCTATCTGTGTAGAGTAAAAAACAGCTGGAGAAAGAAGAGGATATGGAAGGAAAGGTGTGAAGGAAGAGGCAGTGTCAGAGGTCTGCGCTCCCCAAGGTCGCTCGGGAGCCTTTATCCTATTCACATTTTCCCAAGGGTTCACCCAGGAGTGTGGCCCCCACCAGCCGGAGGACCAATCATCAGATAGATTCCAGCCCCCTGTGTCAGTGCTACCACAGCTGGCCAGTCCTTGTGCCGGTCAGCTCTGAATTGGGGACAAGTTGTGAGGATGACATTTCACTTTTCTACTAGGAAAATGGACTTAACCAGAACCACTCCCTGCCAACCACTGTGGAATGGGCCAGTGCACATGCCCACGAGAAACTTGGACTTGAGACACAAAATCTGAGAGCTTATAGCAGAGTTCAAAACTCGACTGCCTGGGGGTCAGGCAAACATCTGAAAGTGTGCAGCTAGCCTGCTGGTAGGTAGAAGCTGAGCACCCAGGAAGACGTCTAAAGGGGACGGGTACTGGGACATCTGGCAGCCACTGCCCTGTGGAGAATGTAGAGTGAAGGGGGCAATGCTTCTGATTTTTCAAGAGAAACCAGAAATACATGTACACTTTCATGTGAAATAAGGACATTTTTAACATCTGACATGGACTCATGCCTGTAATCCTAGTAATTCTGGGAGGCTGAGGCAGGTAGATAGCTTGAGCTCAGGAGTTAGAGACTACCTGGGCAAAAACGAGACCTCATCCCTACTAAAAATGGAAAAACTGAGGCAAGAGGATCACTTAAGCCTGAGTTGAAGGCTGCTGTGAGCTATGACGCCACAGCACTCTACCCATGGCGACAGCTTGAGACTCTCTCTCAAAAATAAATACAATGAAATGAAAATGAAATAAAATATAATAAAACAAAATCTGACATGGAATCTGGTTTAAAGGAAGAGTAATACTGTAGGCCAAATAAAACACATCAGCAGGATGATGTGACAAACAGTTCCCAACGTCAGCTCAGGACACACGGGTCTTCTGTGCTGGGGCCGTTCCCCTTTGTCTCTCTCCATCCATCTAGAGCAGTGATGTTCAACCAGTGTGCCATGAAAATTTTTAAAGATCATTCATTAAATTATTTTCAAAGGAAGTTTAAAGCACAGTAGGTGTATTCTTTTCTTTACTCTTTTTTATGATCAACATCATTTAAGAATGCCATGGTAGTTTAACATAGGTTCAAGTGTGCCGTGAGATATAAACGGTTGAAAAACACTGATCTAGAGGGATCAGACACGTGCCCCTGGGCAGCCATGGCTCAGTGTGGCAAAGGGAACATGTGCTCTAAGCTAAGAACTGCTGAAGTCCAACATCCTTTTCTGTTTATTTGTTTGTTTAAACAGATTTTGAAGCTAAAGTCCAGAAAGGAAATGTGATTCCACTAAGGTGACACAGTGAGGGTGGCCAATTTCCACCACCCCTGCCTGACCCCTTCCTTGGAGGCAGAGGTCAGGCTAGGAGATGAGCACGCAGGCAGCAGACCAGGGCACCATCCTGGGGACCTTGCTCGCCCCACATGGCCCTCCCACCCCACCAGCCAGAGGCTCCCTGCTGGCAGGGGCCCCCGAGGAGCCTGGGAGCTCTGTGCTCCTTACCTGAGCGTCCAGGTTTTTGCGGGAGGAGGCAGGCGTGTTGGCGTAGGAGCTGATGGAGGAGCTGGTGTTGATGTCATCAGTGCTGAGGTTGTCTATGGTGTCGCTGATGCCACTGCTGACGGAGCTGCTGTCATCCCAGCTGCCAAGACAAACACATCCTCAACACCAAACCCTCATACGCTCCAGCTCGGGCTGATGCAGCCAGGTGAATGTGCACCGTTCCCAAAGGACCTGACCTGTGGCATCAAGTCCTGGGTGAGGTTCTTTTGCCTCAGATGTGACTCATCAAAAGGCACCGTCCAACTTTGCTGCTTGGCACTGGCAGATGGTGAAGTGGCTGACAGGTACCTCCCCCAAACTGTGGGTGTTTCCTGGAGCAGAGTGGCTACAGACAGTATCCATTTCCTACCCTGACCTCAAGGTCATCATGGGAACCTGATAAAAGCCTAGCAGCAGAGCAGGAGCCATGAGTTTGGGGCTAGAGCTGAAAGTGTGGGGAAAAGAGCTGACGTCAGTCCCTCCCCAGGGCTCAGAGCAGCAGAAGAGCTGCTGTTTGATTTCTCTGGACTCCGCTCCTGGAGTGCAATGAGGAGGGACGGCCAGTGGCAACAGTCAGCAGAAACCTGCCACCTCTATTAGAAGTAACTCTGATAATACCCCAGAATTAGCGTTCTTCATTTCTCAGTTGGCTTAACAACTGAGGCTAGCCCCAAGCTGCTCAAGTTGAATTTCCATGAAATGTCTCCTCATTCCTTCTGTCTCCGCAGGTGCCAACACCACCACATTTAATCCAGCCCCTGTCGCATCACTTCTGCTTGCAAATGTATCCAGATGTGTGCAGCTCTCTACCCCACCTCTACCCGCAGCTCACAGGGCTGCCAACTTTGCCTGGGTTTCTGCAGGGAGGGCCAGCTGGTCTCTGCAGCCCACTTCTGCTCCCTAATGATCCATCTGCCCCATGACAGCCAGAATTCTCTTTCTGAGATGTAAATCAGATCTTGCCGCCCTACTGCTTAATACTTTCCAAGTTGCTTCTCAGGAACCTAGAGTCCAAACTTCCTACCCTGGCCCTGGGGACTCGCTGGTCGGCCTCCCTTCCCATTCCTGCCTTGTACCCTTCTCTCCATCGAGACTGGGTCTAATCCCACGGACTTCAGCTCCTTCTCACCTAACATTGTTCCCATCTCCAAGGCTTTTACACTGGTTATTTCTCTTACTAGACCCTTATCCCTGCTTGCTTCTCTTTTAAATCTCAGCTGCCTCGGAAAGTTTATACCAGGCCAGGCACGTTGACTCAACGCCTGCAATCCTAGCACTCTGAGAGATGGAGGCATGTAGATTGCTTGTGTTCATGAGTTTAAGACCAGCCTGAGCAAGAGTAAGACCCCATCTCTACTAAAAATAGAAAAAACTAGATGGGTGTTGTGGCTGGTACCTGTAGTCCTGGTTACTCAGGAGGCTGAGTCACAGAGAATTGCTTGAGCCTGAGAGTTTGAGGTTGCTGTGAGCTATGATGATGCCATGCCACTCTACCCAGGATGACAGAGTGGGACTCTGTCAAAAAAAAAAAAGAGAGAGAGAGAGAGAGAGAAAGAAAGAGAGGGAGAGAAAAGAGAGAAAGAAAGAAAGAAAGGTTATGCCCTGCCCATCAAGCCTGTAATGCTCTGTGAAACCAGCCTGTTGCGTTTGCTCATTGGTTTGGCTGCAAGGTGGCAGGTACTCAAGGCAGCAGGCACTCCATCAAAACCTGCTACCAAAGCTCATGGGAAAGGAGTTGAGTGGACCATAAAGTAAGCTCCAACATCAATGCGGCACTGTTCTAACTGACCTAGTAGAAAAAGGTGAGTATGCTTCTTTTTCTTTTGTACAGGAGGAGAAACTGAGGCTTAGAAAGGTGAGACGGCCAGTAAGAGGTGGAATGGATCTGGATTCAGCTACTGACTCCAGAACCATCCTCTTTACTGTGATGCCAGATGGCTTTCCATTATGTCAATCCTCGGGGAACACACCAGATGTGACAGGGCCCACTTCCCCAGAAGGAAGCCAGGCACCCTGGTTCAAGGCCACACAGAGCCAGGACTGGCAGGCCTGATAACAAAGCACTGACTTAATCATGTCATTCTACCACTAAACCTTCCACAGTGTCTATGGTCCAAAGCACTGCAAAGGGACAGCATGAAATGCTGGGTGGTGGAGATGGCAAAAGCCAAGAGTACTCCTCCCCCCTACCGCCCCTCCCCAAAATAACTTCAAAGAAGCTCTAGTTCATTCCACCAGCTTGTAAGATACCTGCGTCTACTTCCTGAGCTCTGCTGATCAGGCAGAAAGACAAAGGCTTAATGAAAACCTGTTTTCAACACCTTTCCCTTCAACACTCCTATTTGGCTTCCAAAAGCCAAGCCGGAGGATCCCGCAGAAATGCAGGGGAAATATACTAGGATGGTTCCCAAGTAGGGAGGATAAGGCAGGAAGTGTGAGGGCTCAACAGGGGTTTATTATGGACGAATCCAGGAGAGTCCAGAGGGTCCTGTAGCTTTGGGAGCTCTGCAAACTTCACTCATGTATGTAATTCTACTTCTTTTGCCAGCCCGCCATCCTTTTCCAAAGTCCTTCTTAAGGCTTTCTCAAAATACTTTCTCTCACCTATCCCAGTGATCCCCTGCTTTAAGTTCCGACACAGTATCACCTACACATTTGCTTCTATACACTTACGGTGTCACAGAAACACAACTGTGCTGTTTAAATACCTCCTGACCGAATTCATGTGCACGGGAGAGACAGGGCAAGTTTCTGATGCAAACTTGGCCACCAGAAGTGGACTCTAAGCCCAGCTCCCTCCCATTTGATTCTTTGGCAGGTCATAAGCTCTGTGACTCAGTTTCTCCTAGGTTGGCAACCATGAGGATCTGTTGAAGAAAGCATGACATCACAGGTGGAAAAGGACTCAAATTTGTTCTCACAGTAAGAGGAAATCCTATGAGTCTTTTATTGCATCTGCTTTGGGGAGTTAGGCATTTAATGTATCTACTATTTCTTATAATCCAATAAAGAAGAAAGGAGACTGACAAGAGTGTGGCAGTGACCGGCGGGGAGGTGGGAGGGGAGTTATAACAGATGTCAGTGAATCCAAGTCCCAGATTTTGTGCTTTGAAATTATACCTGTTCTTCCCCTGTGGCCTTTCAACACCAAGATAGTATTCCGGAGGGGCATGTTTGATGCACACATGGTTTTCCTCATATCATTGTCCGCAGCACGGGGCCTCACCCTGAGTTTACAGCAACTCCTTATAATTGAGCCGGCCCAGAAGAGGGGAGCTAATGGTGAGGAAGAGGAGGCAATGATGCTGAGGGAGCCCACGGTGAGCAAGAGTGGCATCCACATTCCCCAGGGCTGTCTGTGTGCCAGAAACTGAAGCTGTCCCATACTTGGGAAACCAGCCAAGTCTCCTTAACTTCTGAATACTGGTGAGTTTATCTTTTTTTTTTTTTGGAGATAGGATCTCACTCTGCTGCCCAGGCTAGAGTGCAGTGACATCCTCATCATAACTCACTGCAGCCTCAAACTCCTGGGCTCAAGAGATTCTCCTGCCTCAGCCTCCTGAGTAGCTGGGACTATAGTTGTGTGCTGCTGCACCCGTAAGTTTCTTACTTAGTAAGAAGGGTGTGTTTCTTGCCACGTTGCTCAGGCTGTCTTCAACTCCTGGCCTCAAGCCACCCTCCTGCCTTGGCCTCCCAAAGTGCTAGGATTACAGGCATGAGCCACCATACCCAGCAAGGTTATCTTGACATAAAATAGTTCCACTTTGTCCTTTACCCCAAACTCGGGGTATAAATGGCCATGAGCCACCAAGACTAGGTCAGTGAATTTCAAAAGGTATTCTAAGGAAAACTAGTTTCACCAGATGCTCCCTGATGACAATGTTGCCCTACCAGGGGAAAGTGCTACCTCTTCTACCCTTTTTTTCCAGAATCACACTGTGTACAAACATCTTAACAGCTGTGAAGCCCAGTAAAGAGCTCTTTAACTTTGCCCAAAGCACCACTCTCCAAACCGATATGACCACACAGGGGCACTGAGAAGAATGAAGCACCAAAAACCACAAAAATGAAAATTATAAAAAAAAAAAAAAAAAAAAAAGGCAAACGAAGCCAGGGTTTCACTGCCCGAGGTTACTTCCCCCTCACCTGTCTGAGAAGGAAGCAGAGTGGAGAGATGCAATGCGCCTTTGACATCAGCCAGCGCCTGTAGCCAGCCTAAAGCCAGAAGCATCCTCAGACACCCAACACTAGAAGTAATACCTTCCTTTCTTTTACTCAAAACTAGTTTGCTTGTGTCTTGTCACTGGACAATTCTAATTCACGGGGAATTGCGATTTGTTTGTAAAATGACTCCAGAGATGAGGCTGAGACTCAGACAGGAAAAATGTGGAAAGCATGCAGGAGTCACCCAGGCAGAAGTGGCAGAGGAAATTAGGTACAACCTGGGATGGGGTGCAAAAGTCCATTGACCCAAATCGGTCAATAAATGTTGAAAGCGGTTACAAAAACTGATTAAGATTGAAACTTGAAAGAAACCCCAGAGAATGCTTATTTACTATGTGGTGAAACAAAATTCCAGTGAAGAGGCCTGGAGACCCTGATGACGCAGCAGGAAAATCTACAAGTGTATTCAGCTAGGACTCTGGAACAATCATTCTTAAATATGACTTGACCGCTCCTATGTCCTGGCCGGAACCTGGCTGAGAAAAACCATACAATGGTCCTGAGGCCACCTGAGATGATAAACCAACTGCTCCCAGTTGGGAGTATGTGTTGTTAAAAGTCTGAGAAAGGTTTGAAAAGATGAAAAGAGATGAAAGCAAATCATAATATTAGTACTTAAGATTAAAGCTTTGTTACCAATCGGTTAATCTCGGTGTATTTATATTTAAAAGAATATACAGCCTATTACAGAATCTGACAATATGGTCTTGTGATTTCAATTTTAAATGAGTATTAATTTTTCTTTTTTTCTTTCTTTTTTTTTTTTTGAGACAGAGCCTCAAGCTGTCCCCCTGGGTAGAGTGCCGTGGCATTACAGCTCACAGCAACCTCCAACTCCTGGGCTCAAGCGAGTCTCCTGCCTCCGCCTCCCAGGTA